AGTAGCCGATGTATATGAGACTAACTCCGCGCTCCGCCGAGGAGCCAAAGTCGGCGAGGCTAAGATGGCGCTCCACTGAGGAGCCGATGTCGGCGATACTGACACCGCACATGGTTGAGGAGCCGATGTTGTCCAGACCGACGCCGCGCTCTGCTGGGGAGCCGATGTCGGCGAGACTGACGCGGCTATCCACTGAAGAGCCGATGTCAGCGAGACCGCTCTGGGTCTCTGCCGGGACAAACGGAGAAGCCAAGCGGCCTCTCCGCAGGGAGATTACCTCCCGCGTTGCGGCGACTGACGCCATAAATGCCATACTTGCTGCCCCGCCACCGCCGAATGCTTCAGTGGAGGCCTCACTCCCTCGCCTCTACCGCTCAGCGTTATCCCAGCTCCGCTCGGGATACTGCAGCTCCCTGGCGTCCTATTCCGCCAGGATCGGACGCTCCCCTAGCTGCACCTGCCCGGAGTGCGGGGATCCCCTCCAGTCCGTTCAGCACCTCTTCGCTTGCCCCGTCTTCCCCTCGTCTCTCAGCGTCTCCTCACTGTGGGACAACCCCGTGGAGGCAGCGGCCTTCCAGGCCACCCTCCCTGCCTTCGACCATCTCCCCCCTCTTCCGGTGCCGGCCCCCTCACCCTCCACCAGAGCCTCCCCCCGGCGAGCGTGACGGTCGCAACTAACAACAACAACAGACCGCTCTGGGACTACGACGATAGACAACTCTGCTCGGGGCCTCAAGCACGGTCGACGCAGATGGACTTATGACTGCTACCGTGCCCTCGGAACGAACCGCTGTGTTTGACGCTTCTGCGGGATGCGGCGCTGATGAAGGAGTGACCGCACTCATGCCCGCAGGCCGAGCCGTTCCGCTCGACGCACCAGTACGATGCGGCACCGACGGAGTGGCAGCACCCATGCGCTCTGGACGAGCCACTGCGCTCGACGCTCTAGCATGATGCGGCGCTGGCGAATGAATGACCGCACCCATGCACTCTGGACGAGCCACTGCGCTCGACGCTCTAGCATGTGACGAGTGACGGTCGTCGGTCTTCTTGGAGGAGTTCTCCAATTCGGAAAACATGAATCTCGAAGAGGCTTTCATGAATAATGCCTGGCGTCTGCACTGAAACAATTCCGTGCGTTAGGTGCAGTTAGCTCAAGTAGCTAGATAGCTCAATGTAGCCAAACGAATTAGTACGAAACGTTCGTTCGCCGCTTTCGTAACAGCTATCTGAAATTTTCGCTCATCCACAGCCGCTTGGCGGATGACGTCATGACATGGCCAAAAGGAAAAGCGTCAAATTTTCATGCAAGTTTAAATTTACCAATTGAAAAAAGTTATTAATAAATGAAATATTCCTGAACAAATGCATGACTTTAAATTATCATGCTTGTATAATTAAACGAACGTACAAGCAACTTTCACAATTCAGCTTCACAGTTTTCATCATTGGAGTAAGTTTTCCCGCGCCTGCAGCGGCTGGCTTTCAAAAAAAAAAAAACAGAGGGAAACTGTAGTTTGCTTAAACGTGTGATGCGCGAAGGCGAAGTTGGCAAGCATATTATTAATTTTTCAAGTTTGATCATCATTTACCATTGTGTTGTGTGTAAAAGTAGCTCCGAATCTTTCATTTGTCATTTACGTGTTCATGGACCATGGACGTACTGTATTTTGTAGAGTGTAGACCCACAACTGGAATTTGCGTAGTTTTTCCTGCAGTGCAGCCATTTACCATTTACCGTAGGACTAATTCAGAGCATGGACAGCACTGATAAGGCACAGTCATACGTTCTATTACCTAGAGTCCTACTATTACAGAATGATTGACAAGTAAATAATTTTTTAAGTGATGAATTCATTGGATTGGTTATTGAATCGTGATGTGACTTCTGTGAGCTGGCAATCCGGCCCATGGTGGCAAAGCAGAGAGTTTTTAGACTCTCCTTCAAGTTCATTTTTGAGTCCTACCTATAAGTAGAGTCCAGTAAAGTATTCTGCAATCTAGTAATTCACCCTAGGGCCTAGGCTAGAGTTCTGTATTGGTGTGAATTGTGTGTCTGGCACTCTAGAAATTTTGAATAAAGTTCATATGTTTTTCTTAATTCAGGGCAGAAATGATAAACTAAATAAGAAGTGGTTTTGTTTATTTTAGGTAAAATTGAATCATTTACCTTAATTATTGTAATGGGCATAGGAGTTTAGAACTTTGAATTATGTTTGCAGTTAGGCCTAGTCGGTACCTAAGTAGGTGACTTTATTAAGTGTTGAGTGTTAATTCAGGTGATTTAATTGATTTGCAATGGAAAATTTGTCTCCTTTTGTGTGAGGCCTTTATGTGTGACAATGAACCATTTTTGCTATACCTATTGCAGTTTTTCTTCCAAATTTCACTCTCTTATAGTCTTACTTTTTTCATTTCTCTAATGAACATGAAAATAATTAAGATTTTTTTGCTAAATTGTCAAATAAATGGATGCTTGAACCAGTATTCAAAGGCCATTCCTCTTATAAAGCATATTGCAAGAGCTCATCCAGAGTTTTTTTTAAGAAGAAACAACAATCTATCAGCAAAGGATCTTGTAAACTCTTTCTGACAATCTCTGCAGATGTGCAGATATAAATGACCATGAAGATATATCAAATAAAGATTTGAATTCTATCAACGAAGAAGATTCTTGATGATGATTGATGGATTCATGACTTGGAAGAAGTCCATGAAGAAGGAATCATCAAATTGGAAGACAGAGAAGAATTTTATGGAAATGCGTGATTAAATGATGACCACTTTCATATATATATGTATATTTGATTTTAATTTCCTGAAAATTTTGAAAATTATTCCAGTGTCATCTATTGTTGCGAGAGGCTGTTATGTGAAAGATGCAAACGTGACATTTGGGGGACGTCTATGTCTATGATGATTCAACATTGCATTTATTTATGTTACATATATCCTTGCTAGTTGCTATTGGCTTATTACCCTGTGTTTTGCAATGTAGACTGTTCCCTGCAAGACTTGTCAATTAATGTAGAATGTGGTTTATTCATGAGCTGGCTACTGATGTGTTCCTGAGAGAACATGTCTGGCTTACAAAAATGAGATAAAAATGTTCACCTACTTGATTTAATGCAATAAAGTAAACCTGCAAGTGCATTAACATGAATATTTCATATACTTGTATTGATGTTAACATGAAATCATATTCCAGGAGCTTCTTTAACTTTAATAAATTCAACTTTAATTCACGAATGAAAATATAATGATTATTTTTGTTGCATATTTAAAGCAGCATAACTCTTTCATTTATGCCTTGGACTGGATGCACTGATGCAATTCCAATGGCTCTTGAGTTTTTCAGTTTTATTTATTGCATGGAATAGAGATATTATGCAATCAGCTTCTATTATCAGAAGTCCCTTATGTACTAATAACATTTTTCTTGTACAGTTAATTCAAGAACTCAACCAAATAGCTGAAGTCAACTTGCCGGACGTGTTGACCGTGTCCATTTAAGAAGTGCACTAGCTGTTAGTTGCCATTGATGGGACCCGTATGGAAGGAGATGGTAAGAAACTTTCATGTAATCGCATTCTACAATTAATGAACAGAAGTGCAATGAAAGTACCCTTACAGGTCTAAAATCAGGATTGAGGCAGGTTTCTACCAGATAGCACTCCGTTTACTCACATGGGATGGGTATTTGAAATGAAGGAGTTTTGTTAACAAATCCAAAAATTTAGGATATTAATTCAATAACAGCCTCCTAGCTTGCTGACACAGACTATAATATTATCAGAAGAAGCAAATATTTTTCTTCCCTAAACATGTTGGGTACAAAATGTTTGGTCAATAAATGTTGGTGCTCTAAGCCCAGCAGGCATCTGACGTTGAAACACCGTTGATTATTGGTTGATTTCAGGTTGAAATGTTGAACAACCAAAATTAAACGTCATATCAACGTCGAAATCTGACCAACACTAGAAGGGACGTAAANTACACTGTCACTCCAGTTACTCTCTCACTCCAGTTGCACTCAGACCAGTTGCACTTACTCCAGTTACACTCTCACTCCAGTTACTCTCTCACTCCAGTTACACTCTCACTCCAGTTACACTCTCACTCCAGTTACACTCTCACTCCAGTTACTCTCTCACTCCAGTTACACTCTCACTCCAGTTGCAGTCACTCCAGTTACATTCAATCCGGCTGCACTCACTCCCTGATATTTCGGCAGACATTTTCGACTAAAGCCAGCATAAACTATTATAAGTTTAGTGAATAAATAAATGTTTTTTTCGCAAGAAAATGTTTTAATAGCCTTTTAGTTGTCAGAGTTCCTATACAATGTGGAGGTACACAGACGAATATATTGTTTCAACACGGGTGGTTAATGGCCAGAGAATTCGTTAATTTAAATTTTCAGGGTCGAACAATATTCTTCAGATGACATCAGTTGATCAAAATGCAGGTTCGAGGGAGTAATATCAATTTATTAACGACGTTTCGAATGTGACATCATTCATTTTCAAGTTACAGGAAGCATTGAATACAGAAATTTTGATGGAAATAAGTACATGATAAAAGTAAATATGATACAACAAGGAAATTTGGAGCCGTGAAAATAATTCATTTTCACGGTTCGACGAATATGGGCTGCCATGGCTTATGGGCTGCCTTTTGTATGAAAAATCAGTGATGGCCGTGCTCCGCCATATCCAACTCAGCGCTCGTGCTAAGCTGGTTAGAGCAGGCAGAGCAGGGACCGGATTATCAAAACTTCGTAACTTTTTGTACCTACGACAAAAAATTCTGTGGTACGTAAATACACCCTAATTTTGGCATTATCAAAACTTTCGTACGCAAGTCTTAGCTAAAAGCCTAAATTTTTTTACCGCGCAAATGTTTTTATAATACCACCGCTATTATTACGTTGTCATAGCAACGCCACTCGTAAGTCGGTTGTGCGTACCTACGAAGTTTTGATAATACGGCCCCAGGAATGGAACAGATAATTAGCACATTAAGGCCGGAGATGTGCGGCGAGAGCAGCGAGGCCGCAGGACAGAGCTCGCCGGGGCAGGTGCTCAGAGGGTGATTAGCACTGCTCCGCGGGGGGCGAGATCGTCTATAATGTGGACATTTCTGCTCTATCGCGGCTCTGTCGCGTGTCGATGTCGACCCTATGGACGGCGAAGGCCGGCTCTATACTCTGCCCTAAATTTGAACTGGCCATGAGCACCAATGGCTTCAGTTTTATACACAATAATACTTCTTGATTGACACTAGAAGCTACGTACATTTGACGGTATTTACATGCATTGTTCACGGCAACATGATCAGATTTAGCAACAATAACAACTCTTGACATATTGGTCCGTCATCAGTCAAGAGACAGAGTGGAAAGTAATGTGTTTATAACGGAAATCGTGATTATGACTGGGACATTATAAAAAAATTTGAACCGTCTGCTAGATGCCCATCGTTAAGGCTGAAGGACATTGCTGTTTTTGATCATGATTTATTAATGAAATTCAATACCAAAAGCACATACAACTAACACTTCATTGCATTTACTGGGAAGCCATTAAAGTTACTTGGAGTTCAGACGAGGATGTTTCAGCTCGCAGTTTTTCCCCTCTTCCATGACAATGGGGCAGGCTTGGGTTTAGGTTTCATCATGCCTAGAGGGTCACTCTTGTACTTGACAGTTATTTCTCTTTTGAAATCTTCGAAGAGTTTTCTATTATTTTGATTTTGCGTCTCCCGCCACCTCGGCCTGCCTTTCTTGGTCTGCATGCCCCAGTGTATGGAGAAGATGGGCGCTAAAACCTTGAATTTCCACCCTGCCACCAACATCTCGTAAGTCTGTAAAAGGAAAGAAGTCTGAATGCAAGACTATAGATTTCTGAAACCAACAATAATATCAAATCCTGTAAATTACATCAATAAAATTCGGTCATGACGACCCAACATTCAGCAGTCTAAATAATGAACGAGTTCCCATTAGATCGAGGAATCATTGTAGGAATCATTCTAATCTTATACACTCTTACTTGCACACGATCCCAATTTTATTATCAATCTTTCGTTCATAAACGCTACCCGAAAGCCGTTATTTAATCCTATTTAATTTTCAGGAGTTCCACACACACAGTGGATTCTTGTTCCACGCTCAAGTTCCAAATTCTAGAGAGTAAATAAATATTTACTAAGTACGAATCAGACACAGAGATTATCTCGAAGAAAAACAATTTCATCTTATAACTTGTGCAGGCGTTGAAGGCCTTCTAGTAACAGTAAGCTATTTATTTCAAATTTATTTCAATTCAACTACTTTGAATCTTTGTAGAGAGCTTTGACAAATTTCCTAAATTTTCTAGGATTAGAAGGCCTCTAAAAGTGGGGAAAGTTAGATTAATCAGAGAATGTAAACACTATTAATCGTTTATACAATCAATTTTGCAACGTCTCTGATAGCAGTTACTTCTCCCACGTTGCCAGGCTTCCTTCTCAGGCAAAATTAAGCAATTAGAGCTGTTTGTATATGATTTGTCTAGTCAAAATGTATGCGGCCATTATTTCAGATTTGAACCTCTTCATGAGAAATCTGTATATTTTAGGTTTTACCGTGATCGTTTTTTCCCAGTCCCCGAAGTTACAGTTTTTCCTGAACGTTTTAGTTGAAATTTCGACAAGTGGCAAAAATAACATTCTCCGAGAAAAAGAATCGGTCGACAAATACCTACCTAGCTAACAGCACCTACCTAATTAAATACAATATACCCATAACAGCACTGGCAGCTGCCCACAAACTCGAACCTTGCACGAATTGAGGCACTGATATTCAATCTTATATAAACGAATAAAACTTAATATGTGCTACACTGATAGAATATCCACTTACAAACTAATTCTCAAAAGGACTTCCAAGCTTGAAAACGTGTACTCTCAAACTTGAGCATTTCTCCAATTTCCGTTGTCGCCAAAGCTCAGCTAGGCGAATTATGTACTATATATTTTAAAAAATTCGCCTAATTTATTTGCGGAGTTTCAAATTAAACCAAATCCGTTAATAAAGGGCAGCAAATTTTCAATAAAAGAAGAGTAATCCCAAACTGACGCCATTTGACAAGCCTTATTCGTGTCCGAGGCACGCTGTTTCTGAGGTACTGAAGGATTAGGATAAAGAAGTTGGGCTGAGCTCGACGTACTTGTGTGTTTCTGTTGAAGCCGAAGCCCACAAAACGCTCGTCGTGGGCGGGGTAGGCGTCCCTGGCGACGTAGAAAGGCTCGTAGAAAAACTCGAACGTGACGTCGTGGCTGATGAACACGGGCGACTCAGTAGCCCGGCCCGAGCGATCCAACCACTCGCCCACGTTCGCCTGCCACCTGAACGCAGGAGTGGAAATGCTTTGAGCTGTTCCAATGTATGGTAAGTAAAATCATTTGTGTATAAAAATACTTATCGATGAGAAAAATGTCTGTACAGCTAATGCGCCTCATGTTGTGATGGCTGAAATTTTTACAGATTGCATTAGATACTGGTAATATTTTTTCGCATTCGTGATGCATATTTAATTCGCAGAATTAGATATGTTTAAAGGTCAGAAACCTCGCTAATACGTAGTCTCTATTCTACTTAATTTTCATCTAAATTGAATTTATTTACGTCAAATATCTTAATTGTTCAAATTGAGTATTATTGTGTACAAGTAATAGGGAGTCTACCCTCCCAGATGTAACATGATTCAGACTTGAAGCTCTTTCGTTATTCCTAGGATAAAAATCCACTCGCTTCTCATACCATATTTAGTGAAAAAGAGTTTATCTCTGCAACAGAGCAGGCATCAAAGAATAAACGGTACCCACAATGAGAAGTTCGTGGAGAACTGGTTGTGGATGAAGACTTTCTCGTGGAAAGGCCGAGCGCGACCAGCCTGCACCAGCGCCAGCATGTCGGACACGTTGCTCGGAAGAGGCGCCTTCTCGTCTATTTCGTACGTCGGGATCACGAAGGCACATCTGTAGACACAACACTTAAAAGCCATTCCTGGTCATGCTTCACCGTAACAAGTTTAATATATTCGAATCAGCGGCTGTTTTAAACCAAATTATACAGATGTAAAAAAGGTCCCAGTAAGTAGCAATTCTTCCAGATCAAAAGCCTTTCCTCCAAGAATAGTTAGAAGATGGGTCATCGTATAGGTTTACAGCACCGGCTAAGGCTGTTTGACTCCTGATACTCAATTCGTTTGATCAAGAGATGCCTCCATTGGAAACGTTTAAAATTAAATAAAATTCGAAATAATATAACACAATCGAATTGTAGACTTCGTTGTTTGGAGAATTGATCTAAATTACGATGGTTTTATAATCGAAATGAAATAGGTCGCGGTCAGTATCACACCTCGACGAACTGAGTAGGCTACGTGTGGGGCCCCTCTACTTTTCCTCCCTTGCCAAAAACTTTCAAATACGCAAAAAAACTGTGTTGCAACACATCCATGCGATAACATTTCTTCTCGCTTCCAGTAACCGATATGTGGAACAGCCTCCCTGTTAGCATCGTTGACGCTCCGAGTATGAACGCCTTCAAGAACAGACTAGAAGAAGCTATGCAGGAGCATATGTTCAGTCTTAAAATGCCTAGCACCTTACGGACCAGGCAATAAGTCCAGCAGCTAGATCGATCAATCGTCAGTTATGGAAAGATCGGGTTCCAAAGGCCGGATCCCTTGTGAATCATGTCGCGAATAGTACCTGAATAGGCAACAGGCCATGGGCCTATTTCTTCAGTGCCGACACTTCTATTCTATTCTATAATTCTTATTAATGTGTTGCCATTTTGAAGAAACCTTGGGAAAATTATATTTTTGCAATCACTGACAGCTGGCCAGTCGTAATTTGGATATAGTAGGAATGCTCTATCAGCATCGATTCATGTTAAAACCAGCACGAGAATCATAAAACTAATCTTGCTTTGTGTAAATAGAAACTTCATCTATAATAAACAACTGCGCCATGAGTTCTGGGAGTTTGCCTGCAATGCCGTGATAATTGAAAATACAAGCTCCACCTTCACGCTATACGTCAAAATGAGGGGTTCAACATTACTCAGATTTTCAGAGGACAAACCAAAACAATATTTCAATCAAGCTTGAACTTAAATTTACTGGCTTCACTAACTTATCGCAAGACTGAACGGCGGAAGTTCTCAAGAAGGCATCGAGCTTCTCAAACATTTCGGGCGGAGTGACGATGTCAACATCGACGATAAAGACGAACTCAGCGTGGCAGTTCTGGCGCGCCACGTTGCGTAGGAGGTTCTGAGGGTACGACAACTTTTCCCGCCACGCCATCATCTGGAGAACAAACAATGCTCTGCGTTGAAAATCTCGCGAGCAACGTTAGGCAGAAGGTTACGACGGTTCAGAACTTTAAAGATTAATTTGCAAAATTATCAAGACCACGACTCGACGGTGCTGTTGCAATTGGGATCCCCCCACGCAAACACTTATGGTTTTGTCATAAGTACTGGACATTAGTTTTCGTTTTCGCTGGACAATACACTGTATATAATCAAGATAACTCCAAGAATTTAGTTTATTTCAAAAATGAGCTGTAATCAATTATGGTCAGAAAAAGCGCAAAAATATCAGTTAATAAAGAAACGAGTCCTGCTACCCCTGACTCATCATCACTGAAGCTAAGCTCTTAGGAGTTGACGAATGATGACTTTTTTCACGTTATGAAAAACTTCAGCGAGTCAAATGCGCGTCTCGATTGCGATACATGCTGGTTGTTCGCTTAACGAAAGACCGTTGCAATTTTCGTTCATATTCACTAGTCATTATTTATTTTTAAAACTGTTCCGGTATATGTTCAATTCAAAGCACACAAATGGCTTGTCTTCAAACTTATCTCTGATTTACATACCCGAACAAAGCGAATCAGATAAAATTTCCGTACTTGCTTGGACCGCTGCCCGAGGAGGTTCTTGAGGACAGTGACAGGCTCGTGGCACAAGGCCAGGAAATCACCGCTGCTCTCAGCGTCTAGTGGGCGAGGCGGTCTGTCTTTCGGATACGCAAAGTGTATGATTATTTTGTCCCCTACGTATGGAAAGCAAGATATTAGGTATTTCAAATACTCTTTTGCTATCCCGAATTCAACGTCGGGGGTAAAGACAGCAATGGAGATGGGCCCAAGCCAATGTCGCGCCACTTGAACAATCCAGAAGAGACGATCAACCGATGATTGAGTAGCGAGGGTTACTTGAGATTCTCTGGCCAAAGTCGGGTATCGAGGTCCTCTGTATACTGAGTCGTGTATTTTGTACTCTCTTCTGGTATCCCATCGACCAGAAAATACATCCACTGTGAAGGCTGATTGAGGAGGAGTGCTACTGCTTTCGATTGCCCACTCGGGATCACCACATGGCTTTTGATGCGCATCTGATAAGGTGTGCGTGTCCCTGAAACAAAAAAAAAATTCTGAGACTAACAGAAGCTACGTGGTGCTTGAATGGTGTTAAAACCATCTTATAATGATTATATGTGTCATCGTTAACTGATTTTTTAATGATCCAATGAAGTGCATTATTGTTAGTGAGAATTTTCGCTTTCTTTGCGAGAGACTTCGCGAAAAAATAGATACTTCGATCAGTCATAAAATTCATCCCACCCACAAATACATCGCTCAATGCAGGTTTGGCTTGATGGTTCTGCAAACATTACTGAATGATTAACTAGGGAGAGCTTCATGGTATAATTGCAACTTATCAAAAATATAATCAATATCGAATTCTAGCGCGACGAATATATTCAATGAACGTTCTAATTTTTTTTAGACGAAAAAATTGGCGAGTAAGTTTGTTTTCAGATGCCTTGGATCCGAGTCCATTTGTAGGGTACGGGCGTCTCGCTGTTCAAGCTTCTTCACAGAAACGAACTGAGTTTCCTCCACAACACCTGACGCGCCAGCTGAACTCTTTGAACAAAATCGCATCGCCTCTGCTCGTATGAGGCAGGGTGGCCTAGTGATTACAGTTCAGTGTACCAAATTGGCGCAGTGAGTTTTGGGTTCGAAGAAGACACTATCTGTGACTGTGGTCGCCAAATCAGCAAGGTGACCGGGCGGTTAGCAAGTGCAGAATTCGAGCGGTGAATTACATCTTCGAGACTCGCAACAAGCTCTGAAAATGTTGTGATGTTTACAATCGACGACAGGTCTAATGGTCTACTCAACGCTGACAATGCTAAAAAATAGTTTAAATTCAAGTTACTTACTTCCAATTTGTGCTCAGTTACAAAAATGTGGACTTTGTACCATGAACGTTTTCACAAGGTAAATTTTAAGCAGACAGGTTTATGAAGTGCGCAACGTAAATGCTATTTTTAGAAGGCTCAATTTTTCCGAGGCTCATTTGTCCCGAGAGTCCCGTCACTGGAGTCGTCCATCTTACTAGACGTACGAACCTGCATGAATAGTGAGGCATTTCAGTGTCTCTTCCGATTAGAAAAGAGATTTTGTCTCTGCGCTGCTAGAGTTAGTAATATAACAGTACAGCTCACTGCTGAAAATATCTTTCAAACCATAATAGATCGACCTTTATCCTCTTACGTGTTGTCGGTGCTACAGCTATCGCCTTCATTATTTTTCGTGAGGCTCAATATCTTTCGCATACACATGAAACCTTAGGACTTGGCCGTTACTCAGTGCGTAGTGGCAGTACTTCTCAACAAATTACACCTCAAACCTAATGAGCTTATGGTAAAGAAGACAATTTGTGGTTGATTTTATATTTTCCTGATGGTCAACCGTTCGTCAACCGTTGATGGTCAACCGCATGTAGATCAAGTTTTTTATCATCGGTGAACTTATTAGCTTGCGGCAAGATGATGATTGAATTGATTTTACTCAGACAACCTCACAACACAACGTACACTCATACTCATACACACTAATGAAATAATTATTGGAATTTTCCGATGACTCTTTCACACCCATGCAGCCATGCTATAGGCGAAACTATCGCTAGTTTAGAATTAAGCCAGAATGTAATATTTTGTATATTTCAGCCGATTTGAAGTGCTAACAATTTTTGAAAATTTAGCGCAATCACAAGTTTTGCTCCTGTTGGTGACCGTGCTTTGCATAGACGCCCTTGAACCCGTGCCTCTTTCAAGTCAATACATTTATCAATAGATTTTAACCGAGGAATAAGTCGCTTTCAGAGATCGTTCCAACTGTTCACATTAGTAGTCATACTCCGAGTTTGTCTTTCAAATAAATTATAGTTTAAAATAATGAAAAGAAGTTTCAAATCGCACGAAGATGCAATTTATTGTCACCTGAGGAATGCGAGGTAGGACGTGAGGTTGATTTGCTTCATGGAGGCGAGGTCTGAGGTGAACTGCGGCGGTGATGAACGGCAGACGCTGAATTCTTCTCTCGGGCCGATCATTTTAAGTGTGAGGAAAATATTGCTGAGCGAGAGCAGCAGTAAACCCAGCACGCTCACGACCCACACTCGGCACAGCATCTGCAGTAATTGCACAGCGACGTGACAATAATTACAGAATCCCAACTCCCTTATTTCGGGTGTCTTCAAACCCGCCTCTGATGGTCAGTGTAACACACAGTTGACGCAAAGTTGAACTCCAATTGCAATTTAAGTGAACTAGGTTAATTAGTATCGCAGACCCGGTAACTCAGTCAACTGATGTGCCAACATTTTAAAGGATGTATAAACTCTCGTCCCTTTGCTGTGGTGATTTGAAACCAAAATAAATTGGCCAAGATTTTTCCAGGTAGATTGACCTAATGGTAGACAGTTTATTGAGAAATGAAACTAATACTTGAGCCCGGTGAATTCGATAACGGATCACTCAATCAAGGAAGAATAAAAATCAGCAAGTTTATGACATAATTTGAAAATTTCGAAAAACTAAGAGTTCAGGAAGTATTCGGGGAAGCAATATTACGCGTGCTTCTTCTGCAAATAATTTGAAGGCGCAGAACACGCGACCAGAACCGTAATACGGTCCACTCAAATGATTAATAAACGTCCTACTAGATAAATTTTATATCTTCATATACTAGCTATATGAGATATAACTACTGCCGAAAATAAAAAACCGCTAGTTTTATATTTTCATGTTCCATGTACTAACTTGTTACTAAGTTCCGTTTATACCAATGTTACCTTTTAAAGAAAGTTCTATGTTAAATTTGGTAAGTGGTTTTAGTCTGGTTATAAATAGTTGATTATATTGAAATTCTTTAATGTGATGATGACTAATGTATGTGCTACGCTTCATCAGCACATTCCTGCCATTATATTCTCCTGTGAAAAATTCTGCACCGAACGAAGTAATGAAGTTTGTTGTAATATGAGCAATGTTCACTCATTAATTAATGAGGATCATAGTAGCATTGGAAAAATGCTACTGTTCACTCATTAATTGAGTTGCTAATGTTCACTCATTAAAATGCTATCATTGTTCACTCATTAATTAATGAGGAACATAGTAGCATTGGAAAAATGTCAACCAGGCGTGGCGTATCAGACCATCACCGTAAGCACACTTAATAGTTCAACACGTCCCATGGGTGCGACATGTTTAAAAAGTTTAATACGTCCGATGAATTTTATACGCATGAGTTCAACACGTTCGAAGTGTTTATCACGCATAAAAGTTCAACTCGAATGATAAGTCAAACACGCATGAAGAGTTCAACACATCTGATGAGTTCAACACGCATGATGAGTTCAACACGCATGATGAGTTCAACGCGCATGATGAGTTCAGCACGCATGAAGAGTTCAACACGCATGATGAGTTCAACATATCTGATGAGTTCAACATATCTGATGAGTTCAACACATCTGATGAGTTCAACACGTTCACATCTGATGAGTTCAACACATCTGATGAATTCAACACATCTGATGAGTTCAACACATCTGATGAGTTCAACACATCTGATGAGTTCAACACATTGGTAATTTCATACGCGTCCAATAAGTTCAACACATCAATAATCTCAGCACGTATGATTCGTTAAACACGCATGATGAATTCAGCACGTTGTTGAGTTAAACAAGTATGATGACTTCAACAAGTACAAAGAATTCTACAATTACGAAGATTTTAACAAATAAGACGAGGTAAAAAAACAAAGATTTCAACAAATAGGATGATTTCAGAAATAGGTAGAGTTCAACAAATATGGATTTCAACTTGAACTCTTCCTAGTTCAACAACTGGGACGAGTTCAAGAAATAGAAGAGTTCAACAAATAGAAGGATTTCAGCAAATCGGAAGAGTTCAACAAATAGGAGGATTTCACCAAAAAAAGAAGAGTTCAACAAATATGATGAGTTGAACAAATAGGACGAGTTCAACAAACAAGAAGAGTTCAACAAATAATAGGAGTTCAACAAATAGGATGAGTTCAATAAATAAGAGGAGTTCAACAAATAGGATGAGTTCAACAAACAAGAAGAGTTCAACAAGTATGATGAGTTCAACAAATATGATGAGTTCAACACAACAAGTGTAGGCACTCAGTGCAGCAGTCCTTGTTCATCAATGGCATTACTGCAGTTAATCGCACGCTGCGGCCTCGCCTTCTTTATCTTCGCCTTCGTGAGAAAGACTTGAGTGTCTGCCGCACGCATCGGTGAGTAAAGTAAGCACTGCTTTACTTACTTCACTAGTAATGTAGGCACTGCTTTACTTACTTCACTAGTAATGCAGACACTGCTTTACTTACTTCACTAGTAATGTAGGCACTGCTTTACTTACTTCACTAGTAATGCAGGCACTGCTTTACTTACTTCACCAGTAATGTAGGCACTGCTTTACTTACTTCACTAGTAATGTAGGCACTGCTTTACTTACTTCACTAGTAATGCAGGCACTGCTTTACTTACTTCACTAGTAGTGTTGGCACTGCCGTACTTACTGTCCTATCAATGTAGGTATAGCTTTATTTGCTGCCGCAGGCTTACAGTATCTCCTATGCTATAATCCCAGACGGAGATAACAGACTCTCGTAAATGAATAACTTAGAATATCTCGTAGTCAGATCACGCATTACATTATTATGAGTGAATAAAATACAGCAATAATATGGAATCTGCATGACCGGAGAAGTTCACACAGCCGTGCTCAAAATTTCTTAATCAAGTTCTAAAATAAATCATCTTACATCCACTCAACACACATCAGTGTGTCCTGTTATTACATTTAATTATAATCATACATGAATATATAATATTTTTTAATAGTATCATATTAAACCATAAGGCAATTCAAGCCTTGAGGCAATGCACCCATATAACCTATAAATGCTGTAAATTTTCTATATCTTTAGAATAAATATTTTACGTGTGCCCAACTGGGAAATGATTCGAATGAATGTATGTCCGCGTAGGTCCCGCAGAGCTGCGTTTTCCCTGCAAGTGGGGCGGCCGCGTATGTTAAGGCTACTAGCAGAACTGTGCAGCTTGTGTCGACATACTGTCAACCAACCTAGATAACTGTCTCCCTAGTCGAGTCTGTCGAGACATCTACCGGCCCAGTCCCAGGCGATGATTCAACGCTAACGAGGGCGCTTCATGAACTCAATGATTTTTAGTGTTGAAAAATTATTCCTAAAATTTAACTTTTAATAATTATTACTAATAATAGTAATAATTTTATTACTTTAAAATCATTACTATTATTATTTATTACTAGTATCGTCGAAATTTATCTATCTTCAAAAAATTTTTTCGAATTGAAAAGACTTTTTCAGTAAAGTTAAGACCATTGACCATTTTCAATGGACGCTTCTTGTTGTTTTGTATTTAAAAAACTAGAGCAAGCTACTTGATATAAATGAAAAATATGAAATGCAAATCACAGGAACCTTTTTAGTGATATAAATTTCCAATGAAGCTGACAAAAAGATAAAGCAGAGTGTAAACACAATCACAATTTCTATTTCACGGATAGGGAATCTGCAGAGAATTTTCATCGTCAACGGTAGTTGAATGATGCAGAAAGTTTCTAGTCGGAGGTGATTGTATCAACCATCACATCGCAATTTTTATCAGAACAATCATAAACTCATAAACTGAATGCTTCGGAAAAGCTTATCTTGTCGTAATCGTGTCATCTTAAATTGCAGTCAGAAGGCCTCGAATTCAAATACTTCAAATAAATTATGAATTCTTAGTGAAAATAAATAGAAATGCAGTAAAACTTATATATATCGCCACGTTAGCAGCTTATCACCGAGAAAGCAATAAATCAATGAGTAAAAATGGGATTAAAAATCTTCTATCGTTGGTTAAGTATCAAAAGCAGAAACTCCTTGAAATATTTCCGCTCCGATGTGATGTGCATGACTTTAGTGAGTGTGATGACAAGAGTGACGTGGTCGACGTGACACGTGAGTGAGTGTGATGACAAGAGTGGTGTGGTCGAAGTTAGTTTGATCAAAACCCCCCTAATGGCGGATAAAAATTATCTTTCATACATTTCCAGTTTAGACTTGAACTTAAAACCAGTTTTAGACTTGAACGTAAAAAACTACCTATAGTCTTTTCAAAGCCACATGGAAACTTGTCGATAAAATATGATAGGAAAGTATTGTTAACGGCCTTAGGACGCAGGATGTGGCCAAGTCAGCGAGATGCTGGTCGCTGGAGGTGGTTATCTGGCGCCTAGTGAGGCCTGATTCCAATCCTGTACTGCCTGTGATCTTTTACTAACCTTTTTGAACGGTAGTTTTTATTAAAACGGATCCAATCTAACAATAATGATCTCTCAGCAACTTTGGCCATCAGTGTTGGTAATGATCAACAAGGAATTGATTTAAAACGTCATCCACTGAGGCGCGGAGCCTTCATCACCACACACCACCCTAGACCAACGATGCCATCGCACTGAGACTTGACTCCGGTCTCCGGCCTCACTCCGCTAGTCTAGTCTACCCAATGCTCCTTATGAATTAGATCTTTTAACACGCTGACACGCAGATCTCGCTATTTTCGATGGTGCAAGTTCAAGTCTTATCACCAAGCGCTTAGTTCCACGAAGAAAGATTGGAACAATGGTTGGCATGGCGAGCAATTGATAAGACCGCCACTCGAGAGGCTTATCAACGATGCTGCAGGAGCAGGCAGCTGCGAAGCATCAGCCTGCCTGGTCTCACGTGGTCAGAATTGATTGCAGCGCCCAAGTCTGCACATGGAGCGCGGCATGTACGTGACGGTCGAGTTTTGGATGATGGACTTGTGTGTACACGAGCGAGGGCTGACTGAATCAAACGGCCTTAATTCACTGCCAATTGTGTTTTTAACACATTTTTCCTATCAAGTCATCTGTAACGAGATAGTTCAACGAGATTATTTTGTTTATCGGTCATACATGTAGTCCAAAATAAGCCTCGTTAATAATGTTCAATGTACTATTAGAAGCTTTACTTCGCACTTCAACTGTAGGCACACACGGCACTTTCCTCACGATCACTAAAAAATTATGAGCTCGCTCCTGTAATAAGTATCTCACTCAATCTTTAATTATCTCTGCGCAAATGAGAGAGAGGAGAGCTACACATGCAAGCTTTTGTGAATGAGTGCATCGGTCTTCTAACTTATCACTGTGACGTCATCCAAAGCCCTGATAAGAACCCTGACGGCACAACGCAACACTCTACCCGTCGGAAGGAGAAATTTAGGACGTGTTCGTGCCTTCCATTTAATTTGGAATGCTGGAGCTTAACTGTACACTTCCGCCACAGTGTTAATAGTTCAATAGAATTTTGTCTCTTCGATAAGCAATCAATTTTTAGGGTTAAAATTCGATTGTTGGTTTTATCAAGGTCAACCACTACTTATAAATAGTAGTTCATTATTTCGATAATAATAGTCATATCATAATAGTCATATTGATTGGTGCCGGTCTGTCGTTGAGTGAGGTTGTGCGTTGCTCATTCCTAAACTTTCCACGCTATTTGTACTGTCAGTGATGGCAAGTGATGCCGAAAGTGAGTCTGGTTCCACCTGCTCCGTGGCATCCGTTGGTGTTGGCAGTGTCTCGATGAGGGAAGATCTGGATAAAGTGAGCAAGATGCTATCCTTCCTGAAGAACTTCAGCCCTGAGAAGAAGAAAGCGGGACGACAGGCGAGATCTGGCAATGTTGTTTCTTCCAATGCCTTGAGTCTGGAGAAGGTAATTAATGTCATTGACGCTGTTTATTCCCTAAATGTTAGAATGTTGACCAAAATTGAAAACCTCATCTCAACANTTGTCAATGGTTTTGCTAATTTTATAAATTTGTTACTTATTTGTTCAAATCGTCGTCTTGTTATCATTGGAATTGAGTCATGTACCTATTGTTTTGCCTGCGAAGCTTTTTTAGCTTATGGGCATTCACCTGGAAGCCTTGCTATTTTATTTCACGTCTCTTTTTATGTTTTCATTGTAACGTGTGCTCCTGTGTGAATAAATAAATAAATCAAATCAAAAATATGTCTAGAGACAGCATCGGAGTTGTGTAAACACTGACGGTGCGAATGATATTTCATTCTAAATCAATCGGAAGTAAACCCTTGACTTCGGAGCTAAATGCAACACTGCAATAATTATTGAAAGGTTAATGTTCAGAAAGACTTTAAAAAACTAGATCAGTACTCACTGCAGTGAGAGACAGAGAGCGCATTTTCTCGTCCGTCCGTGAAGTCACGGACAGACAGGCGGACGGACGGACATGACGAGCACAATAGCGCCTTTTCTTCCACAAATGAGAAAATGCGCTAAAAACATTTTCTTTTGTCAACCCTAAAAATCTTATAATTGAGTTACTTAAATTTCATGGGAGAACTCCGTAGATTAAGCACAAATTTGTATTGTATCACCTTTCGTCGAAATTCAATTTTACTTCAATGAACGCTTCATCAGAATCGCTCATGTAGGTAAGTTATCTATATAAAACTTGTGTTAAATTCAAAATATCATCTAATTTGATCATAGAAGATGAGAATGTGCTAATTTATTGCTCATTATCCGTTCCCATGTTCATTACCAAATCCATTACGGCCGCGGCGTCACCTGTTTTAATTACCCATTACTCTATAACTTATAGAGCTATAATACTATAGAGTTATAATGAAATATAGTTATAACTTGACTTATAATCCCAAACATTAGTCTGTTCAATGACTGAGCTCAAACATTGCCTTGACGATGACGGAACATTAGATCAAATCGCTCTCTCCTTAGTATAAGGTTCAATTTTATTGTTTTACAGCTCAAACGTTTAAGATGATTCCTATAATTCCAAGTTGAAACTGACGGAAAATGAGGTTGTCCAACTCTATAATCGCTACGATTAATTAAATTTGACTCCAAATTCGTGACGATGTCATGAACTGGACCTGATATTCACGACAATGCAATAAACTAACATTTCACCTGCGCGTAATACTTCTAAAATTGACCGTAATATTTTGCCTATACGCGTAATAGTTCTGACTTTGCCGTTAAACTTCGCCTTAGTGTAATACTTCTGAATTTGACCGTAATACTTCGCCTTAGTGTAATACTTCTGAATTTGACCGTAATACTTCGCCTTAGTGTAATACTTCTGAATTTGGCCGTAATACTTCGCCTTAGTGTAATACTTCTGAATTTGACCGTAATACTTCGCCTTAGTGTAATACTTCTGAATTTGAAGTATTACACTAAGTGTAATATTTCGCTTAGTGTAATATTTCGCTTGCATGTGTTTGGCCTCAATTTTTTGTCGTGTACCTGTATAATTCCGTTCCAATTTAAGCATGAACCATTTTTGAGTACTAACTACATTATTTTTACTCAATTCATTTATTATTTATCTTGCATGGGTGAATAAATAATTTTGTGTCACGTTTGTTTATGCAGGACTCAATTTTTGTAATGTCCTAGACAATTGATGCGATGCTGGCTCCGAGTCGCCGAAACGAAGGCATGGATTGAACTGACCTCTCACCGCGTGCCTCGCAATGACCATTTAACGCTATCTGAACGGATAAGTTTTGTGGCTGAGCGAGTAAAGCTCTGCCGCACAAGCCGGTTTTATTTCTAGGCAATAAATGATCAGCTATGATGTTATGTAATCAGAGGAAGTGAATGGCTTCGGTCTAAATGAGCTTGGCCAAATATACTGCATGCACGTGCACAGAAGATGCGAGCTCGGGTAATTTGTTAATATGACCGTTACTATCTTACGATAGTAACGCAGTTTGCTCCCTTATCAGTCAGTGATTTCTAAACCTCTCATAATTAGCTTATTAGCTCTTATTATTTACGTTCATACAAATATCCGTTGCCAAATTAAGTGACGACCGATGGATCTAAATTCTTCTTCTCTTACATCGTTCTGAGGTCCCAGGCGAGGTATCCGCCTTGTTTCCTTAGTATTTGTTTGGGACGTAGCAGTCCCAGGCCACGATGGATCGCAGCCTCTGATTATTTATCGTTCATCCGCCCTCATTTGGGCCAGCTGATGCACGATGGCAGGACGTGACCTCGAGAAATGTGCACATTGTGTTTTGTTTTGCCCTCAGTAGCCCTCACTGCCTACCCGCCCTCGCTGCATGCCCTCAGCGGCGCTCCTCTCGCGGTATTGATCCGCAGGAGTGCAGGCAAGGAGCACTGTCACGGACTCCCTTCTCCTGACTGCTCACTGCTCAGACATGTTGCTCACTGCTTGGACAAGATGCTCACTGCTTGGACAAGCTGCTCACTGCTTGGACAAGCTGCTCACTGCTTGGACAAGTTGCTCACTGCTTGGACAAGTTGCTCACTGCTTGGACAAGCTACTCGACGTTCCGACGAGCTGCTCACTGCTGAGCTGAGCTCCTTCCTGCTCAGAAATGCTGCTCACTGCTCTGATAGGCCATTTGCTGCTCATACGAGATGCTCGCTGTGCTCCCATATTCCAAGCATTTCACTGACGCTTTATTTCTTGGGTTTCTGCCTATGGGCCAAATGCCCTGCCCATTTTTTAATAAACAATTATGAAATCTCTGATTATTCCTCCCACGTGAGCCGCTCAAAGCGCTGATGCCATGAACTGGACCCGACATTCACGACGAATTTGTTAGCGGTCACGGCACCCGTTGCATCGTTGCTAGTTCGAGGTCTGATATTTAAAAAGCTTTGATTGCCTCGCAAGATCCTCGCCGATTCTTATCCACCCGGCCACCTAGGCGATTTAGACCTGAATATTCGCGACTAATCACGAATTTTGAACCCCATGGTCACTGCTTCTACCTTGAAGATCTCAATTTACTATTCGACCATTTTGAACTCTGTTGCCGAGCAAACTTTAGTTAGATACGTAAATTTCTTATCATGTTACCCCACTAGTTTTCATCCATATGCAGTGCGAGAGACCTGAGTGAATGAGAGTCGCTGAAATTATCTTTATGTTGCAATGTTATATAAGAGATTCCATTCACGAGGGCATAGGTTCTATTCATCGCACAGAAAACATCATTCCAATGTTCAGTTAAAAACAACCTTTCAAAAATTAGCAACGGATTACTTTTTTTGGGGCATTCTCTTTCTTTCTCTTGTGCTTCGCTGTAATATCGTGTTAGATTTTTCACCTTTGCGTTAGTTTGTATGTAATCTGTAAATAACAATTTATCACCATTTAATGTACGGGAACTTAACGTTGAGGATAAATCAAATGTGATCTCAATTTGAACGCCATCTGCATCGTCATTAAAAGCAGAGCTTTCTTAGGAGGCTGGCTTGGATCTCACATAATTTCGTCCTCAATATTGCATCGCTTCTCTGGCCTATAGCAGCGTTCGGCATTTCTTCTGGTGCGAGGCCCTTTTGATACCACCTTTGTCCACTACTTTTTAAAATTTGAATAAGTT